TTTACCAATTGTATGAGTGTGTGTGTGTATGCAGCTTAGCGACCTCAATGTTTTGTTCCTGTGCGTTCATAACAAAATTAACGAGTAAATTATTTAATTTTAGCCCAAAAACAAAACAAAAATCAAAACAATTTCCAATTTGTATATTCAATGTTTTCTTAAAAATTCATATATACAATTTGAAAAAGAAAAAAAAAAGGTTTATGTATATGTAAAGTGTATGTTTTTGCATTTGCTGTTTCTAATCAAAATCCAATTTAATTTCGCTTCATTTTGCTCTTTGTAAAATTAAAAAAAAAAAAAAAAAAAATTAAACATAAATTTTGAAGTAATATAAAAAAAGTTAAATTTATTTGTATGTTAATTTATTGAAAAAAAAAGAAACAAAAACAAAAAACAAAAGAAGTAAAAAATAAAATAATTAAATGATGTATTTCGACTGATTTATGTGTTTAAAGTTTAAGCTTTTTGGACTATATACTTATGTATGTATATGTGTACATATATGCGCATCAGTCTGTAGGTCTAACTCTTAGTTGTATCCTCCCCCCCTATACATATGTATATATAGTATATGGTATATACACATACATATATATGTATATGCATCTGTATTAATATTGTAAATTATATATGAGAATGATGAGAAAGTTGCGAACATTTAAGTAAATCAACAGAATCAAATGAATGTAAACTCTTATGAATACCAATAATACTAATAACAATAATGCTAATGATAATGATAATGCTAAACACAATAATACGAATTGTAATAATTAAAGTATATAATTCAATTCAATAAAATGAGAACGGATCTAAGAAAAAACCCTTCAAAATGAAAAAAAGAACCAAATATCGTTTCAATTACTTTTCTCGGTTATAGAGAGGTTACAGTTCCAATTCCAAGCATTCCTTTTTGTATACAAATCCTAAGGCCAAATAAAAATCCAGCTGTTCCAATTCCAATTGTTTCGTTTAAGCAAATCAAATAGAATATTTTATCTTGCATTTCATTGGTGTGTTTGCCCTGTAAGCACTGTTCCAAGCTCAGGCGTTCCTCTTCGTATACAAATCCAAAACCCCAAATAGAAAACTACTTTTTGGTTTATTTTTTCAAATCAGTTTAATTTCATATATATGTATATATAATTTTTATATATAGCACACATATACACATATATAATTACATATATAGGTTATATCAATTTCAATTTAGATTCTGGCTTATTGTGTAGACTGATAATATGCGTATGCAAATATACATATATATATATACCTGTATATATATAGAGCATTTCTTTTGAATGTATATGTAAGCTTAAGCTTCTAAATTATACATATACATATGTATAGTAATTTCCCAGACAGAATTTATGTTCTTGGTTGTAGTAAGACATGTATGTGGTGTGTATGGAATGTAATCGTGTATATATGTATATGTATGTACGCATGTATATATTTATATAGATAAAGTCGTCTGAGCTTTTGCAATGTTTCTTTATTTTCTGGCAATTACAACATTCACTTAGTTATTTTTTTTCGGTGTGTGCTTAATAGTCCTATTTTTTTTATGTATTGTTTTTTCAGTGGTTTGGCTTATGGTATATGAAAAAAAAAAATTGCCTCGAGCATGTTCTGTCCCTATTCCAAATTCAGCTGTCTCTTAAATTTGTTTCTATTGCTGTTCCATTCTCTAGTTTGTTCCAATTTCTGTCTACTACTAATGCCATTTCCGTACTGTTCCTATCTATATTCCTTTTTGCTATTTCTGTATCTTTACCGGTTTCTGTTATTTTTCTGTTGCCATTCCATGTATGCTCTATTCATATTCGCGTTCCTATCTCTGTTCCTATTATTTACTTTTCATTCTTTTTTGTTCCTATTCCTGTTGCTGTTCCCAATTTTACTTCTGCTACGGTTCTTTTTTTTTTTTTTTTTTCGCTCTTTATTCTGTTTCTCTTTTTGTTCCTATCCCATTCCATTTATACTTCTATGTATAAGTCTAGTTTGGTTCGCGTGCCTATTTCTGTTCTGAATTCTACTGCTGTTCTTATTTCCTATTCCTGTTTCTGTTCCTTTTTTGCCTTTCCTTCACTTTCTATTTTTCCATTCCTTTTCATGAATTCTGTTTCTCTCACAACTTATGTTCCTATCCCTTTTTTCCATTCTGGGATAGAACATGTCGAGCCTGGTAAAAACCAAAGCTTTACTAATTTGCATCCCTTTCTGCTTTCCGATTAAATATCAAGAGTTTCTTTATTTGTTATATTTACTATGTTCTGAATATGCTTAAACGATTTTGTTTTTGGTTGTAACACAGCACGGCACAAACACTTAGAAACACTTTTTGGTTGCAATTATGCAAAATATGTTTTTTGGTTTTCTTTGGTTTTTGAATCCAGTTATCTAGTTTGTTTAGTTGTTGTAATGTAGGTGAATAAGTTTCTATCAACGGCTTGATTGGACTTAACTATGTATCAATTTTCTGCCTAACCTCAGGTCTTCAGTTTTTCTTTGAAATATCTTAACTAGCTATATATATATATATTGTTTACAAATATGTTCCATTCAGTTTTGTATCGCTTTCACAACAAAAGAACGAATTTAATTTTCTCCCGGCTGTTCCATGTATTTCTCTATTTATTGGTTTGATTCCAAGTTTAACTACAATTCTTAAGTTCTATTTCACATTGATTTCCAAAAATTAAAAATGCTGTTTGACTGTCTCATTCCACGACGTTCCAGAATTGCCTGTTGTGCTTGTCGAACCCAAATTTCTGTTGTTGTTGCTGCTGAAACAGTTTTAAATCATTTCATTCCATTTCGTCTCTAGCTAATTTACGTTTTTCATATGTTCTATTCAAGTGTTTTTTATACCCTGAACCCATTGAAAATGGGAAATCAGGGTATAATGGTTTTGTTGAAATGTATGTAACAGGCAGAAGGAGGCGTGGCAGACCCCACAAAGTATATATATTCTTGATCAGGGTGACGAGCTGAGTTGATTTGGCCCTGTCCGTCTGTCTGTCTGTCCGTCTGTCCGTCTGTCCGTCTGTCCGT